TATGGTTGTCACAGTGGCTTAATCAGATCTTATCTTTGTACACCAATGTTCACGACAGAGTGAGTCACAACAGCCAAAAGACGGAGCCCACTGAGTGTCTATCCATCATCTGAAGAATCGAATAAACAAAAATGGCTGTCCTCGTTGTGGAATAGTATACAACTATAAACAAAATGGCTGTCCCTGTTGTGGAAATAGTATTCAGCCACAAAACGGAAAGGAGTAATAAAGCATGCTACAGTGCGGATGAACACTGAAAACACACGTTACGTGGAATCAGCTAGACGTGGAAGGCTACCTCACACAGGATTCCATTTACACGGGGAGTTTGAAGGTATCAGAGTTTGAGTACCAGAGGCTGGAAGGGAGGGGGAAACCGCAGTGTCATGACTGAAAATGTGAGGTATCTTTGGGAATGAGAAAAAGTGACGGCAGCAACGGTCCCACAAGCCCCGGGAACAACTGTCCAGGTTGCTTATTTTAATCAGGGAAATCAATGAAACATCACACACGTCTGCAAACGAGTTTGCCTCAGAACCACCCAGAGTTCTGATTAGAAACGTCCACATCCCGGCTTCTGGACTGCAGTGTCTGGACCCAGGAATTAGAGTTTTAAGAACCTGAGGCAATCTACACACACACACACACACACACACACACACACACACACACACACACACACACACACACGTACGCACACATGCACGCACACGCACTACGCAGAGTGCCCACCTGGATCGACAACCCTGTCCCCACCATCTCCACAGCCCCAGGGTCTTACTCTGTCCCCGTTTGTTAGTTTTTTTGTTTTGTTTTATGCTGCTGTTCCAAGTCACAGCCAACTTTGTAGCTCACAAGAAAACAGTTTATCTTCTGGCTCTGGGAGCTGGGGTCTCAGTGGGCCAACAGCAAGGTGTAGGTTGTATTTCTCTAACAACTTGGGAGAGGTGGTCTGTTTTCCTACGTTTTTCGTTAGAGGCTGCATTCCTTCACCCATGCTCTCTTCTGCCATCTTCAAAGGCAGTCGTGGCTGGTTGGGCCAGTGTCTCATCTCTTCTGCAAGCCTCCATCTCATTCTTCGGTATAAAGGCCCTCACCGTGGTTACACGGGACCCATATGGACAGCACAGAACAGCCTCAAGGCTTCTCTCTGCAGCCCTGACTCCCCCACACCCACGACCCTGTAGTCCCAGGTTCCAGGGGATGGGGGTGGCTCCTTGGGGCTGTCTGATGATGGAGGAGGCTCCTCAGAGCCCCTCACAGACTCATACGCCTGGCTGTGAGGAGAGCCACCCACCCATATGCACTGGCTGTCTCCTTGACAAACCCCCCTGCCCCTACCCCCGGCTCCATAGAAGGGACGGTGAATTTAAAATGGATTCTGGGCCCTGGCCACCTCTCTCTGCCTCTCAACTCCAGTGCAGATTTGAAGCCCATCCAGGGACAAGCTTCCATTTGCCCCTGCCAGCTCTAATGATTGGTCACTATTTATAATTGTGTAAATAATGGAGGAGTGCACTCAAGCTGCCCTCCCCAAGGAGACCCACTCTCCTATTTTTAGGCCCCCTGGCCCATGGAGTTGTGTCCTTCTGAGTCTGTCTAGGAGTTAGGAAAAAGATGCTGGGGGCTCAGTGGTCCTGAAACCTGGAGGGGATGGAGATGAGAATGAGAGGCCAGAGGTCAACACCCAGAGGTCAACACCCAGAGGTCAACACCCAGAGGGGCCCCCACCCACGTCCCCAGGGATGGTGGCAGGGACTCCTAAGGTCCCCTTGTTCTGTTCTGGTCCCAGATCAGAATGTGATTTAATAAGAAGGCCTGGTGAGGGGCGAGAACTGAGTTCTCTACTGAACTAAAGAGCTTGGCTACACTCATGAGACATGGGGAGCGCACCACGGGGTCTCCCTCCCTTGTTTGAGAAAGGGTCACATGTAGCCCAGGCTGGCCTTGAATTCTTACACAAGGATGACCTCGGGTTCTTGACCCTCCTGCCTCCACTTCCCCAATCCTGGGATTACAGGAGTACTGGTTGATGTTGGGCTGCAGGGAGGAACCACGTGGTACTGAGTCACAGCCTAGGACCCCCTCCTTCTCAGGGACAGTCTCAGTATGTGAGTTCCCAGCAATCCTCCTGCCTCTGCCTCCCAGGTCTGGCATCACAGGCCTGAAACAGAACGCCTGTGTCCTTGGGGGGATTTGTGATGATGATTTCCTGTTTGATGTGACCCGGCGGTCAAGCTGGCTATCGCCTAGAGTCCCTTCTAATTTCTTGGAGCCAGAGGGCTATAGGTTAAGAAGACTCCCCTGTGCCCCCTGTGGCACGTGCAAACCTGGGACTCACCCCACCCTCATAGTATCAAACCCATGTTCTAATAACTCAGCTCACTGGGGTCTCACACCAATAAAACAGGGGTGTGCCTGCTGTCTCTCTAGGCCCCCCAAAGCATCAGGTACCCAATGGAGAGATGTGATGGCTTCCCACATCTCTGTTTTCACACTGGGGATTCTTAGGGTCACCCATGTTCCTGGCTCTCCTTAGCCAATGTGTGAACGACATATATGGGCATGCAGAGCCTTCACAGTCCATGGTGGAATATGCCAGGCTTGAGCTGGCCTGTGCGGAACTCTGTTACATGGAGGGAGCCCGGCTAGCTCCTTGCTGATGGCTTGAAATCGGCAGTGTGGGATGTCTGAATTGGCAAACGCCACTGATGGACTCCCTAGAAGGCCTCTATCAGCAAAGCCTGGGCATGTTTATTGTACACATTGTCATTGACATCTTACAGATGGGGAAACTGAGGCTCCAGAGGTAAAGTCACCAGGTTGAGCAAGTATGATCCCACAACAGAGCCAAAGGCAGGGCCCAGCTTGGTGCCTCTGTGCTCGGCTGGCTGCCTCTGGTTTCCTAGGGACCAAACTTGCAAATCACACTGGCACAGAGACAAACAGGTTTGTCTGCCTCTGGGTTTTAGCTCCGCTGAGGGGACCTGTGCCCCCAAGGAGAGGCAGTTACCTGGTGACTGAGACAGCCCTGGGGAGGGAAGTCAGCCTGTGTTGCAGTAGGAGGGCGACCCCTTGGCTGCCACATCCACGTCATGCTCCAGACCTCACTCTAGTCTGATGACGCCAACAGGACCATTGGTAAGAATGAATGGAAGTGCTGGCGTCCTGGACCAGCCGCAGCAGGCTCTGTGCAGACAAAGTCCTGCTGGGTGCTCACATCACTGCCGGAGGGAGAGTGGGTGCCGCTATAGCACCCACGCAGTTTCCCAGGGCCATCTGTCTCTGTGAGGCTAAAGGTGGGGACAATTAAGGACTCAGAAGCTCCGTTTGGACACTGCGATCTCCTCAGTCCTCCCGAAAGCCCACCCCCACCCTCACTCCCTCTTCTGCTTCGTGTGTCTCTTCCAGTCCTTCTGGAGTGAAGGCGATGTCTTATCTCTGTTTTCACCTTAAAGCCTAGTCAGGACCCTGCACATAATAGGCCACCAGCAAACATGCACTAAATGAGTGAACAAACACCCACTCCCTTTCCTGCCTCCTGGGGACTCCTCGCTGCCCTGGGGGGAAGGGCGAGTTCTCCTTGGCGACCACACCCCAGCCTTTCTCTAGGCGGCTTGCTTGGCAGCAGCTGGGAAAATAGAACTCCTGAGATCTCTTTGTCAAGGGGGAAGAGGGAGTCTAGGCAGAAGGATGGAGCAGCCAGCTGGGAGTTATAGGGGTGTGGGGGTGCTGGCCAGTGGGGGCCACGACCCTGAAAATGCAGATCCTCCCTGACAGGAAGCCCCAATAAGAATCCAGACACGAAACTAAGTTGCAGGAAGGTGTGGGTCATGGCATGCTTTAGGAGCTCCAACACCCTGGGATCCGAGGAGCCCTCTCTGACCTTTACCCCCCACAAAGATCTGTCTGGATTTTTAGAATTCTTAGGGTCACAATCCCCCAGAGACAGTCCAGCCCAGTCAGCAATGATGCCCCATAGCCAAGCTTCCCTCAGGGTGTGTGAGTGTGTGAGTTGGGCGCACAGGCGGCCGTGACTGGGAAGGTGAAAGATCCTGGGGTCCCCGGCACTTCCCGCCAGGACTGACTGTTGGCAGCTGGGTCTGTCTGGGTGTCACCAAACTGGGCAGGGCATGGCCGGGGGTCCCCAGGGCAGCCCTGACGTTGAATTCCCCAGGGTCCTTCCCTCCTCGCCTGGACGCGATCCCCCGGGAACCCCAGCCCCGGAGTCTTGCTCCGCGCGCGCGTCCTTCCGTGAGTATCTCACCGCGTCCCTGTTTGGAGGTGGCGCGATGGTGGTTAGAGCAGCAGCAGGACTGGCCAGTCAGGACCGCCTAGTTCACAGCGTAGCTGGTTTCGGAACTCACGGGTCCCATCTTCTCTACTCAGCGGCCACCTGCGGACGCTCGCCCTCGTCCTGGGTGCAGGAGCCAGGGAAGGGCGGCTTTAGACTGGGCTCATACGCAAGCTCTCCTCTGTCCTGCAGGATTCCCGGACGGTAGGCGGCGGGGTACGGGTCGCACTGTCCCCAACCCCACCCCGTGGGGCTACGGCAGTGGCATGACCGAGTTACTTTTCGCACCCCCTACGCACCGCCCTCGTGGCAGCGAGTGAAACCGGCTAGCGCTAGGACCGCGCCGCTCAGTCCGCCCGCCGCTATAAGAGGCCGCTCCGGGCCCCACGCGGAACCGGCTCCGTGCCGCTGTCCCCGCGTCCCCACCCCGGCTCGAGTTCAGCGCAGCCCAGGCAGTTCCCGGCCTTCCTTCGAGGGGCGCCCCGGGGCCCCGCCGCGCACCATGGGCGCTGCCCACTCGGCGTCCGAGGAGGTGCGGGAGCTCGAGGGCAAGACCGGCTGTGAGTACCATAGGGTGGCCGGGCACCCCCGCGGGAACCGTCGCCTGCATGCCCCCCGCTTCGCGTCGCCGCGCTGTGTGACCTTGGGCTAGTGGCTGACCCTCTCTGTGCCTCGCTTCCCGACTGCTTCACATGGTATCCCGCAGGCTGCTGTGCAGGCGATGCCGCAGAGAAGGGCTGGCGAGGACCCCGGACGGGGGCGGAGGTGGGGTGGTGGCCCGGGAGGCGACGAGACCTATGCATCCCCGGGCCAAGGCGGAGGGCAGGGCGGAGCCGGGCAGGTGGCCCCGGCAGCCCGGGAGAGCGCTGAGCGCGCGCCGCACCTGCAAGTCTGCGGCTGGCAATGCGCGCAGGGCGGAAAGTTTGGAAGTGGCGGGACCGGGAGGAACCGCGCCACCCGCGGTGACCTTAGGCGAGGGGTCACCCTCCGGTCTCCCCGCGCGTCCCCCACCCCCACTCCGCTGCAGGCTTGGACACCGAGTCCCGCGTCCTCCGAGCCGGCTCGCACTCCCGGGACCGCAGAGTCCGGGCGGGGCAAGCGTAAGGAAGCACCTGTCCGACCCGCGCTGGACCCTGGGCTCGGAAGTGGTGCGTGGACCCGGACCTGGGTGAGAGTGGGCAGGCGCGTGGGCGGCCGTGCTTTGCTGACCGAACAAAACCAGTGTTAGCCCTCCCAAGGCGGTGTGACCTTGGGCCAGTCAGTTTATTTCTCTGAGTTTGTCTTAGTTTGCCGCCTCTGTGGAATGGGAGGCTGGTGCCCCGTGGGTGCTCCAAACACCAGGAACTGCGGCTGGAGGCAGCTGCTGAGTTGAGAGCAGCCACCCGAGAGGGGACCCCCCCCCGCCCGCTGCCACTCGCCTCCCTAGAGCCCGTGAAGCCATAGAAAGTCACAAAGTGTCTACCCTTGCGCACACAGTAAGCCTAAGTGTGGAGTGGATCCGGCTGGAGAGTCGTTTACATAACTCGATAAGGGCAACAGCCAGCCGAGCGGTCCGGTCCCAGCAAGAACGGACCATGGGAGCGCTTTCGGGAGTTTGTGCACGGCAAGTGGAATGTGTGCAAGGCAAGAGTATGTGCAAGCAGAAGTGTGCACACTGTGCAAGCCGGGAGTATGTGAAAGCCAGAGTGTGTGCACACTATGTGCAAGGCAAGCGGGAGTGTGCATGCTTCGTGCAAGGCGAGCGTGTGTGGTGCAAACAGGAAATGTGTGCAAGGCAAGCAGGAGTGTGTGCGTGCTATGTGTAAGCAGGACCGAGTGCACATTGTGTGCAAGTGGGCATGTATGCATGCTATGTGCATTGCTATGATCTTGGACCCTCCGGGCCTCAGTCTCCCCAGCTCTGGGACTGCAGGGCACCCCCCCCCCAGCTCCACTTTTGTATTTTTTGTCTGAATTCACTTTACTGGCCGGCAAACCAAAAGTTTTGTGAACGAGACCCCTGAGGCCCACGTGACAAGATGGAAGCCTGCAGGAGGCCCCGCCCACTCCTGACTCAGTTTGACTGATTGCCGGTTGCTGCCACAGCTGGTGCAGGTTGAGCCCCCCACCCCCACCCACCCGGGCGGGCGGCACCCAGGGCCTTCTGGGGGAATTCCAGCGGGCTGTGGGTTTGACAGTGATGGGCCGCAGAGCATGCTGGGAGCCTTGTCAGTTTCCTGGGCTCACCCTCCCACGGTGACAGATGCTGCGCTCAGGCAGGGGTGGCTTCTCCCCTTGCTGCCTGGGCTCAGAACTAAAGTCCAAAGGAGGCTGAGGTGGGGCGCCCGAGGTTCTTGGGGTGCTGCTGGTGGCTGGTGCAGTTGGGCACTTTCACCCACTTGGCAAATCCTTATAGACCCCGGTTTTTGAGGATTTTGCAGTGGTGACCCAGAGAGGCCAATATTCCCGAGCAGGGTGCACAGCACACAGATCTACCCCATAGGTGTTATGTTTCCAGGAACAAGCAACATGGGGGAGGCACCGGGAAGGGGTGAGCAGGCAACTAAGGAGCAGGTCATGTGACAGTGACGGGAGCATTGGAGAGTAGGGTGCTGAGGCCCTGTGGCAGGAGGCAGTTGGTCATGTCGGTGACAGTGGCCAATGACACAGCAGTCCTCGAGGCTCAGGCTGCATTGCAGCCCGACTTCAGGGGTCCCTTATGCTTCCTGTACCTCAGTTTCCCCTACTGTCAGATGGACGTAGCAATAGTACCTTCCTTAGAGGTGCTGCCCAGCCCTCAGAGCCACACTGAGCTAAAGGTTGGCCCCTTTATCCCTGCTGTGTGGACTTCAGCAGGTCACTGCCTCTCTGGGCCGCAGTGCTCCACCTGGGCCTCGCCTGGGGGTGGGCGTGTAGAAGGGGCGGGGCTCAATGTGAGATCAGTGGGCTGGACAGAAAGAACTTTTGGAAAGTGTCCCAGGACTAGGGTGGCCACGTTGCACTTGGACTTGCCCTCTCCAACACTGAGCACGTTGTCAGACACCCAGTGGGTCCTCACCATATTTCCCAGGAAGGGTGATGGTGGTATGACCATTTCCTCCCATGAGGGAAACTGAGGCACTGAGAGAGATAACATCTTACCTCCAGCCCCATAGCCGGGAGCAGAGGTGGGGATAGAGAGGCCCCCACTCTCTGACCTCCAGCGTAGGAACTGGCTGCCCAGCATGGATCCTTCCCTCCCTCACCCCAGGGCCTTTGCACAAACCTTTCTGCTGCCAGTCAACTGTGCAATATCTTGGGTGCTGCGTTCTGTCACTTCCTCCCGGGTTAAGATTTCAGATCTTATCTCCCTGCTGTCTCAGGACAAAGTTCCTGCCTCTGTTCAGGGATCTGATGGCCGTTGCTCTCTCTCAGAAAACTGTCCTGGCTGGTAGCTCTCATGCAGTCTCAGACCTGGTCCTCCCTTAGCTCCTAGGTTCCTCCCACCACCTCCTCTCCACCATCATCTGCCTCCCCTAAGAGATGGGCATCAGTGTGCCCCCACTCCCCACAGAGCTGCTGGTTGGCAATGAGACCACATGAGGCTCACTTGGGGACAGGGGTGTCACTGAACCCTTCATAACCCAGAAAGCATCACTGAGCTGAGGGCCACCTCCCCCTACAGGCTTTGACCATGCCAACCTTGAAGCACCCCATGGATAATGGGCTCACAGGATGTGAGTTTGCCTGCCTGCATAAGCATAGCAAGGCCCCCTCCCTCCACAGAGAGAGTTCACTGACTGACTCGTGGTTCAGGCCTCCCTCTGACACCAGCCAGCACCCGCCTAGGCTGTTCCTGAGCAGCATCCAGGGACCTCCACTTGTCTTTTCATCCAGGAGGGACATCAGGCCAGGGGGTCCTGAGCTGACTTAGAGTGTTCCTGTTTCCCCAGTCCCTGCCCCACTCCTGATGGAAGCCAGGTAGGAGGATGCTGGGAAAGTCAGGGGCCTGTCCTCTTGTCTCTAAGACGTTCTCTCCATACCTGCAGAGCCAAGATGCTGCCAGAAGCAGCAGAACCTTGGGCCAGAGCTCAGGCCTCATGGTGACATTAGCAGACCCATGACATCTGCTCAGGGCCAAGTGCAGCCTAGCTGTCAATAATGAGGTCCTGCTGTTCCCGGGCCCTGGTGGGGATACTGCTGACCCATTGCATGAATGAGGTTATGGATGAGACAGAGTGATTCCCCCCTCCAGGGAGAGCTAAGGCCAGCTGGGGCCTGGTTCCTTCTTTTTCCATTGAGTCCAACCTGCCCCCACGCTGTGGGGGCGATTTCTTGGACTGTAGCCCTCTTTGTAGAACTGTGGTTGGAACCTAGGGCCTCACACATGCTGGGCAAGTGCTCTGCCTGTTAGCTGAAACCACCCCCCCCTTTTTAAAAACTTGGCACAGTCTTCTCATGTAGCCCACACGGGCCTTGAACTCAGGACCCTTCTGCCTCAGCCTCCCAGGTTGCTGGTTCAGACCTGCAACATTGTCTGGGAGTGACTTCTGCCTGTTGTTCCTAATGCTTGCAGGCCCTGGATGAGGGTGGGGGAATGGGGTGGGCTCTCTGCCCTTCAGAAGCTCAAGGGCTTGATTGGGGGGGGGGGAGCTACCAGGGGGTGGGGCTGACACTTCTGTACCCAGCCATCCACGAAGGTATGTGAGCCACTGGCCAAAGCCACTTTCCCAGCAGTGACCAAGGCTGCTGACCCCGGGAGCCCCACGAAAGAGGGCTTACCCACATCTCTCTAGGTTCTTCTCAATATAGGAACATTAGAAGCCACTTGTACCTGGTGTGGTGGCATACACCTGTTGTCATCCCAGCAGAAGGCTGAAGGAGCAGGATCTTGAGTTTGGGCTAGTCTGGGCTAAACAGAGAGACTTTGTATCTAGAAAACGGGGGTGAGGGGATAAAACAATTCTCTTATTCGTTCGTTCATTCGAGACATGGTTTCTCTGTGTAGTCCTGGCTGTCCTGGAACTGGCTCTGTAGACCAGGCTGGCCTGGAATTCACAGAGATCAGCCTGTCTCTGCCTCTGCCTCTCAAGTGTGCGCCACCACTGCCCAGCAGCTCCTCACCCAACCCTGGGGTCAGCCATCTCTCTTTATAAAATCCTCCTCATGGCCAGTTTATAGACAACAGAGGTGTAGCTCAGAAAGTGACTGCCCAGGTCACTTAGATGCTGAACTCGAATCCAAAGCAGGTTCTCTAGTGAGGTTTTAACGCAGAGAGAGGGAGGGAGGGAGGGAGGGAGGGAGGGAGGGAGGGAGGGAGGGAGGGAAGGAGGGAGGGAGGAGACAGACAGACCGACCACAGGTAAAGGGCAGCAGAGAGCCTGCAACCCACGGGTCCCTGGCATGCCCGAAGAGGTGGTGAGCGTGTTACAGCCACATGCTGGTATATTGAGTTGCATCGGGCTTCAGGGCTTACAGAATGGGGTCTGGGTGATATGGAATGCTCTAGAACGTGCATGTTTGATGGTAGGCAGTTAGGCTGGAATGGGAGCCGCCCCGTCTCCTGGGGACTTCCAGGGTAGCTCACATCTGTTCCGAAGAGGAACTAGTGTTGTCTGTGGGAGAGCAGGTGGCAGCGGCAGGACCTGCTGGCTTGGGGAGCTGCAGTAATGAGCTTCCTGGAGCATCTTCCCACTCACCCCTGTGGGTGAGCAGCATTTTCTTTTGAGCTAATGTCTCCCTTCCCTAGATGTATCAGGGAGGTTAATCAGAGCTCAGGCGCACAGCCTGCTGGGTGACACAGACCAGTGCCATGTACACAGAATGGGAGCTCCTATGTCCCCAAAGCACTTGGGTCCCAGGTACCTTGAGCTAAGGTCTTTGCATCTCTGAAGGACCCATTGCTCTAGGAAAAAGGTGGGGCCAAGGCCCAAGGGAGGAGCCGTCCCACCAGCCAGGCCGTCACTTGCTCCACCTTAATTATTCATAAAGCCAGAAGGTCAACTGGGCATTTCCGTTGGTGGCAGCGGTTACCTTATGCACTGGGACAAAAAGGTCCTTTGTTGTCTCTGTGGTTTGACCTTTTCGGATGGGCAGGCTCTCAGGAGTGGCCTTCCACTCACCTTGGGAGGTGACAGGAAGTGTCTGAAGTCACTCCAGGACCTGAGGTCCTCTAAGAGGGAGGGCAGCA